GGGAAAATCCAGACGGCCGACTTTTTCGCGTGGAGCGCTATTTTGAGATTAATGGCTTGCTTCCAGCGGAACGTCTGCGGGCGGCAGTGGTCTGTTTAGAGGGTGATGCATTGGCATGGTATTATTGGGAGGATGGTCGGCGACCTTTTCGTAGTTGGGCTGAATTCAAGGAACTCCTTGAACGTTTTCGATCAACTCAGGAGGGAAACTTGCAGGAGCAGCTTCTATCATTACGTCAATCAACTACTGTTAAGGAATATCATCGCCAATTTGAGGTGCTCTCCGCCTCCTTACGTGACCTGCCAGAATCAGTACTTGAAGCTGCCTTTGTTAATGGGTTGCGCCCAGATATACAAGCCGAACTCCAATAGATGGAACCCGTTGGGCTAATCAGAAAAATGGTTGCAGCCCAGAAAATTGAGGAGAAGAATCAGGCCTTATGGGCTTATCAATCCGGTTCATTCCCTCGTGGGCCCACAATGTCCCTCTCTGGAACCTACTTTAACTCACGGGTTTCGCAAATGACTACTTCTGTCACCCGACCTACACGAGCCGCAATCCCTCCTTCATCAGCCCCTATTATTAAGGCCCCACCTCCTGCTTTCAAAAAGATGACCAACAAAGAGATGCAGCAGAAACGAGCGAAGGGCCTATGCTTCCATTGCGACGAGAAATACAGCCCGGGACACCATTGTGCTCAGAAATCACTTCAGGTTTTATGGGTTCAAGATGATGTGGAGGAAATCACTTCTGATGGGTCTATTTTGGACTGCACTCCCGGGGACACTGAAATTGCTCCGGCTCCAGAATCAGCCACGCTTTGTGTTTCGTCTCTTGTTGGGTTGTGTGCAGCAAATTCCCTTAAGGTGCGTGGACGCATTTTGTCACGCGAGGTGGTCATATTGGTAGACTCAGGTGCATCTCACAACTTTATCTCTGAAACTTTAGTCGAAGAATTGAAATTACCCCGCACCCCTACACACGAATTCGGAGTTCAGATGGGAAATGGTGATGAGGTAAGAACCTTTGGAGTTTGCCGACAGGTTTGCCTCAACTTACCCGAATTGGATGTCATCGCTGATTTCTTTCCTTTAAAGTTGGGCTCTACGGATGTCATTCTTGGTTTTCCTTGGTTAGCATCCCTCGGGGACTCGGTGATGAATTGGGGCAACATGTCTATGAAGCTCAATTTGGGAGGTGTCGGGTGAAGTTGCAGGGCGACCCTTCTCTTTGTTCTTCTCTGGTATCTTTGCATGAGAAGGGGTTTTGTTAGAATTAAAACAATTGCAGATAGTGGATTCTCTGTTGAACTGTCTTGCCTACATCCCCGCCAATTTCCGCGTTACTAGATGAGTACATAGATGTTTTTGACATGCCTTCGGGCTTACCCCCTACACGGGCTACGGAGCATGTTATTATCTTGTAGGAGGGCACTTCTCCTATCTCTGTTCGTCCTTACAGATATCCTCAATTCCAAAAAGATGAAATTGAACGTCTTGTCTCTGAGATGCTAGCTGCGGGTATTATTCAGCCGAGTACAAGCCCCTACTCGAGCCCGGTCCTTTTAGTCAAGAAGAAAGACGGAAGTTGGCATTTTTGTGTGGATTACAGAGCCCTTAACCGTGCTACGGCTCCGGATAAGTTCCCCATTCCGATCATCGAAGAACTTCTCGATGAGCTCCATGGTGCTTCTATTTTCAGCAAAATTGATCTTAAATCGGGCTACCACCAGATTCGGGTCCGCAGTGAGGACATTCCCAAGACTGCATTTCGCACCCACGAGGGCCATTACGAATTCCTTGTCATGCCCTTCGGTCTCACCAATGTGCACTCGACCTTCCAGTCATTAATGAATACTGTATTCCATGATTTCCTCCGTCGCTTTATGCTGGTATTTTTTGATGATATTCTGGTTTACAGTGATTCCGAAGCTGCCCAATTGGATCACCTTCGACAGGTCTTCTCTGTGTTGCGCGCCCACCGTCTCTTTGCCAACTCAAAGAAATGTATCTTTGCTCGGCCTAGCATTGAGTACTTGGGTCATATTATTAGCGTGGCTGATGTTTCTGCCGATCCTTCTAAAATCCAGGCCATGGTTGACTAGCCTCAACCATCTTCACTTAAAGCTCTTCGCGGTTTTCTGGGACTTACAGGCTATTATCGCCGTTTTGTGCATAACTATAGTAAAATAGCATGGCCATTGACGCAGTAGCTCAAAAAGGATGCTTTCTCATGGAATGCGGAGGCTGAGAATGCATTTCAGGAGTTGAAACGGGCTATGACGACCGTACTGGTGTTGGCTCTTCCAGATTTTTCCCAACCCTTCTTGATCGAGATAGATGCATCCGGTGTAGGTCTCGGGGCGGTACTAATGCAGAATAATCCGCCTATAGCTTTTTATAGCCACAAGCTTAGCCCGTCTGCACAGTCAAAATCTGTCTACGAGCGGGAATTAATGGCCATTGTCTTTGCTATTAAAAAATGGCGCCCCTATCTTCTTGGAAGACGCTTTATTGTTCGGACCGACCAGCGTAGTCTCAAGTATTTGTTGGAGCAGCGGATTGTCGAAGGTGAGCATCATAAGTGGCTTCTTAAGCTTATGAATTGTGACTTTGAGATTCGGTACAAACCGGGTGCCAATAATACCGTGGCTGACGCCCTATCCAGAGTTCTTGCTGAAATGCACTTAAACTCTCTTACATTACCTATTTTTCTTGATTTTGATGACCTTAAGGAGCAAGTTGATGTTGATCCTTTTCTGGCCAACATCAAGCATACCATACAGTAGGATCCGACTGCCTATCCCGCCTATTCTTTAGTTGGAGAACACCTACGTTATCATGGTAAATTGGTTCTGCCAGTTTCTTCTCCATTTATTCCCCTCTTACTTAAGGAGTTTCATTCGGGAGTTGTGGGAGGACACGCGGGTATCCGCCGGACATATAGGCGCATAGCAGCTGAATTTTACTGGCGAGGGATAAAGCGTTCTGTCCAGGAGTTTGTGCAGGCCTGCGGTGTGTGTCAACGCAGTAAATATGAAGCCATGTCCCCTGCTAGCCTTTTACAACCTTTACCCGTACCTGAACAGATCTGGGAGGATATATTGCTATGGACTTTATTGAGGCTCTTCCTAAATCAAAGGGGTTTGATACAATTATGGTGGTGGTCGATCGTCTCTCCAAGTATGCCCATTTTATCCCTCTCATTCATCCTTTCTCAGCTCTCACGGTTGCTCAGGCCTTCCTGCACAACATAAGTCCGTTTACATGGCATTCCCCGCTCGATTGTATCTGATCGTGATAAAGTCTTTATGAGCTTCTTCTGGCGCGAGCTTTTTACCCTGTAGGGTTCAGATTTGCGTCGTAGTTCAGCTTACCTCCTCAGACAGATGCACAGTCGGAGGTGGTTAATCGCTGTTTGGAGACTTATTTGAGGTGCTTTGCGGTTGATTCCCCCTCTCGCTGGTCTTCTTGGATATTGTGGGCAGAATACAACTATAATACCTCTTTTCACACTACTGCTGGCATGACACCTTTCAAGGTGGTTTATGGGCGTGATCCTCCTCCATTAATCCACTATGAGCTTGGCTCTACAGCTAATGCTGATGTTGAAGCTGTTCTCCTTCAGCGAGATGCTATACTTAGGGAGTTGCGTGCTCATCTACACCGGGCACAACAAAAGATGAAAGACTCGGCT